TAACAAGGATTGCCAATCCCTTCCATAAATAAAATTATAACAGAAGGACCTTAATCTGAAAGCATTTAGAAGCATTAGACTACTAAAGTAGATGTCAAACATAACAAACAATATAATTGATTCTTAATAGGGTAAAATAGACCCATTCAAAGTAGCAATCAAGGTGGAAAAAAGTGAGAATGCATTTTCTTTAAATACAGTGAGAATACTGCCTATGGTTTTGTTATAAGGGTCTTTTTCTCCCCGTAACAATTGTGCAGATTCCTATGGTTGGCGTAATAATTTGAGAAACAGCTGTAAATTTTCACAATTATAAGTACAATAAAACTTGAAGTGTTTAATTAATTTTTGGTCCAGCAAGTTAGTTTTATTCTTCATTACTGTCCAATATATTTCATTATATTTTAGTCTACAGAAACAATGAAGCGTTACAGGTCAGATACATCCCTCATCTGTATTCTAATTAACTAACCTGACAGTACTGATTCAAAAACAACTGGAGTAAATGAAGTAATTTAGTGATACATGATTTCACTTTTTCTCATTTTTCCTACACATGGATCTGTATTTTATGTTTATGATTAAATCTAACAAAAACTAATTCTAAATTAATTAATGTGTTTTTCTCCAAAACCAAACACATTAATATTGTTGACCTTAACTAGAAATATGCATCCAGGTTCACTTATTTTCATCCTCTAAAATCACAAAGCAATGTTATTCTGTCATTTAAATGAATATCTAATTTTGTGCATGTAAGTGCAAGGCTCAAAGGACAGAACAGTTTTACAGACTACTAAATTAAAAGTACATTGATATAATTGGGACTTTATCCTTTCTAAGGATATGTCATAAACTTTAGAGCTTTCTGAAAATTGCCTTGAGAATTTTCTACCCATTCAGCCCATTAAATAGCAGAGGATTCTGAATTTGCAGGTGATGGTGTTTGTAAAGTGAGTTGCATAAATGGAATAGCATAACTTTCTGTCTCAAGTCCAGCATGGATGTAGACCATTTTTTTTAAAGTAACTAAAAATAAAATTAAGATTATTTTAAAACATAGCCACTGGTCAACAGGCTGACAGAAGAATATATCCTTCAGTATGAACAGCTATGCATTGTTTTTCACTTCTACCCTTCTGTTTGAGTTCAAGAATTTATTTTGCTCTTACATAGTATAGTTATCGAGAGTTGGATAGTTGCATCACTAAAAAGTTTGGGAACAGTTCAATAGCTTTACAGTGGTAAATTAATATTTGAAAGTCTACGGCATCCAAGTAGTGCCATTTAATTTGAGATAAGTTGCTTATTTAGTTTTTAACTTGGAAATTAGCAAATTGCCCTTTAGCATTGAGAAGCAGCAAAAAAATCCCCTAAATATCCTACATATAGTATAGTTCCATGTCTATATAAACCACGGAAGGAAAAGGCATAAGATTATTACAGCCCCCTGCTACTGAAATGTAATCTCTAAATTACTTATAATATATGCTTTAGATTCATATTTAAAGTATTTTTCATTTAAAAGGTGATTTTTACATCTTTCTTGTAGGATTTAGCCAGAGGATCCATGCTTACCATAATATATTTATTTTTGAAGTATGAGCTAGAAAGTAGAAACCCACCATATTTTTCATTATATCATTCTAATGATATAATCATTAGAAAAAAATACTTAAAGGGTGAATTTCATACTTATCTACCTATCCCAATGATCAAAAACTTTTAAAACATTGTCATTAAATCAGAATGTTTCTTTATTTTAAATTACCAGAAACTGGCTCATTTTATATAGTCTATTGGTCTAATATGTTTTTTAAAACATATTCCATTTAAAGAAGTTGTGATTTCTGTATTTTGCTGATTTAGGCTATACATTACTAAATGCAGAAAATTCAGTAAAGCACTTCAAAAGATACTTATAGAAGGAGGAAAACAAACAATACTGTTATTGCAGAATAATGTCCCTATTTTCCAAACCCTTCTTTGTAAATCACGTTGGCATGCATTATAATATACTACAGGATGGGATTGGGTGGGATGGTAAAATAATGTCCAAATTGGAATTACTTTATAGCAGCAAAAGTTTCTTCTTGAATTAGGCAGCTACAATTTAAAACGTGGTTTAAAAATGTTGACATAAAGAAGCAGATTTTTTCTGAAATAAAACTAATACTACAACAGCTATTCATTTACAGAAAATAATTTTCTTTCTCTGCTCCAGCACTGAAATAGAATTTGGAAATATCTAGTCTTTATCATTATTTGCATCCAGTTTAACAAATAATCTTATTTTTGTTTATTTAAGATTAGAACCAATATGCTGACATGACATGGTATGGCTTTATTAGAAATAAACTTCAAATTTTAATAAATTTGAAAATGATATGGTTTTCAAAGCAAGACAAATGAAAATGATATTTGAATTGTTTGAAATTTGATCATAGCTTTCACATATATTCTATAGCTTAGCTTTTGAGAAAAGAAATTTTATTAAGAAAAAATATTTTAAGAAAAAGCAATATAATGAATTATTTAATGAATTTAAGAATCTAAGAGCTTGAATACATATGTATTTTAATAAATTATGAGTTTATATTCATTTCATCATCAAGGAAGCAAATTCCTTTAAAATGATACAATTACGCCTTTTTTCAACATACAGAATTTATTTGTACAGGAAATGGCTTATTTGGGGATTAGACAATTTAATGATTACAAAATTGACCATGTTCAGTGGCAGACTGGAAAGGAGCCTAATTCTGCTGAGCCATTCAAACAGCAAATTAATCCTATTAACCAAAATGTAGCCTATATACTTTGTAATTTACTTGCTAATGACTTTTAGACTGGGTGTTCATTATATGAAGATTTTTTTCCAGTAAATGGGAAGAAATTAGTCATCTCTAGAGATTTTGTGATTTCCAAAACAAGATAAATAAAACCGTGCTTTGTAATAGAAGCTATTTGTGTTATTCATTATATAAAAATAGTTATATAACATTACTAAATAATAGTTTAGATAGATAAATTACTTTTAAATTTTAAATGTGTGCAATTACAATAATGTAAAAGTTTTATATATTCTGTTTTTATTTATGATTTCACCATTATTCATAAAAAGCTAATGAATCAATATGTGGAGGGTTAAATGTTGGTATCCCATCTATGCATATATATCACCCAACAGTAGATATGATGGATTATATTAAATAGAAGATGCCAATAATCTGCAAAATTATTGTTTAGTGGATTTCCATACAATTTCTACAACATACAGAGTTTCAGAGGCTGTGAAGCAGTACCTATCAATTTATATAATTGCCTATCTCACATGAATAAAGTAAAATACAAAAAAAATACAAAAAATAAACCATATCACATATATTATAAAACTGCCATCCACTTATCTAATAGATGGTTCATATTATACATTTGGGCACCAGGTTCAGTCCCAATATCAACTTTTCAGGGCCAAAAGGCCAACATGTTCCTGGATAGACTAATGTGGATGGGATGATGTTTTTTATCAGCCAACATTCCTTAACTGATGGTTAAGTAAGTGCCTCCTGCTGGATCAGGTAGAACAAGTAAAAACAACTAAAGAGAAACATTTCTATAAGTAATGCTGTTCAAAGCCACAAAAGGTTTTAGAAGTGATTACCACATCTTGAATTGAACCTGGAAACCTACTTGAAGCCAACGCAACTCACAAAATAGTATTGTCTCATACACTGAATAACAGCACTATTAACTGTCTGTACTGCTACATTCTGCACCAGAGGAAGCTTCCTAATGGCTTTAAAGGGCTGCCCCTATGTATTGTGGTAATCCAATCTACAGTGGAGAATATGAGCATAGAAGTGACTGTGAGCAGGGACCCTAGTTCAGAATATTCCATAAACATGATCTCTATTTTGCTCATAGTAGATAAGGTAGGTACAACATACATTTACATTACTATAAGGTGGTTTTTTTAAAAAAATATCTTAAATACTTTATTTCAACATTATTAAACTGGATGGCTTTGGTTCAATTACTCTCTCATCCCAATCCACTTCACAGGGTTGCTCTTGTGGGGAAAACAGGAGGAGGAAGGAATATTATGTATGTTTGCCATTTTGAGTTACTTATAAAGTAAATAAAAATCTAATAAATAAATAAACCCATAAAAGTGCTTCTTCATAGTATCCAGGTTGCAAAATAAAATTAGTGGTTATTTTGGTAAGAATTTCAGTAATATAAAACTGATATGAATGTATACCTTTAAATATCTCTAGAAGAAAAACAGTTAAATTGTTTTCTATCCTTGTTTTTAGTTAATTTGGGAAATTTTTGTTCTTTTTTCCCTAATAATGCATCTGTTTTAAAATTTGTCTTAGTGAGAATTTTATAGAAACTTCTTATATTTTTGACAATATTTATGTCCCATCCCAATTTTACCCGATACTTTTGTCAAAAAACAAGCTGCAACAGGGAAATTTAGAATAAGAGAGTTAAAACAGCCACAAATCAAAATATCAATGAAGGACTACAACTGGAACTTGAATTTCAACTGAGTCACAAAATTGAGTATATCTTTACATTTCACTTTGCACTTGCTCAGAACAAAGAAAAATTATTATAATATTTATTAAATTTATATCCTGCCTTTTCCTTAGGAATTCAAGATTGTATACATAACATTCTGCCCTCCAATTTTTGCCCACAGTAGCTATCATCTGGAGCTAAAATGTAGCATCTGAAATGGAACCAGAACCACGGCTTTCCAGTCTTAGGTCAACTCATTAATTCCAAATTGTGTCAATTTTCATGGGTTATATAAAAATAGTCTGCTATTATATATTATATTATTATTATTATTATTATTATTATTATTATTATTATTATTATTA